AATCTGTTGCAGAGGAAGTGACTGGCTGATGACAGGAACATCTTGAATCACAACATCTGGACACAGCTGGAGGGCTGCTGCCCCACAACCTCATGGGAGAGAATCGGGTAGAAAGAGAGAGGAACAGGAAACAGCATTAAAAAGTCTGAATTCCAGGTAAACCCCAAACACTTACTTATCTCATTGCCCACTTCAGACTATGTCAGTGTTCCAGGATTTTGCCTGAAAAATCCTCTGTTTAGGTTTCTCTGTGAGCCATCCTTAACCGTTTTTATTCCGATGGCCAGGCTAGGATAATGGGGAGTTGTTATCAGAGAAAAGTGGAGAAAAACTAATAAGATCCTCATCCAAATGGCACAGACTCCAAATTGATTTTTTCTGCGTTTTTCACAGAGGATCAGGATATTGCTCACCTCAGTGCAAATTTAACCACCTCACTAAACCCCCTTATCCATCACTGAAACTATCTAGGAGCTTAACTGATACGATGCTCTCTGCACATGTGCTCTGTCATCCTCTGGCCGTTCCATACCCAGTTTTATTGGTTGCAGTTTTGGTAGGGAAAAGGATATTAAAAGTGGGGGGGAAAAAGGTAAAGAAACATGTAGGTGGAAGTAAAGAACAATGTATTTTAATAACTGAATTATTAACAACAATTACTATTTTTAGCAATAAATGGATGCTGATAACTGTGGCTCATATAAGCAGCATGTACATTGGCATGTAAATGGGATTATCTTGTGTCACTCATTGCTAGCTGTTGACCAACACTACACATGACCACAGTCACCTGTTTCGGACCAGCTGATGTCCAGTCAGTGCTGAGAGATGCACTCCCATTTTGCTGTTCCTGAACAGTTCTCTGCAAGGGAGGTTTTCTTCTTTAATTGGAAAAAGCTCTCCCTTGTTCCTGAACATGCTGTTTCCATTTCCATATTCTCTATGCAATGAATAGCCTAAAGCTCCACTATGCATCAGCCCTCTGACAGAGGAATCACCGAGTTAAACTGCAGTAAAACCTGGTCTCTGCCCTCTCCATCTCTTTGAAGCTGGCAGCGATTGCTGTGATTTATCTGCAGCTTCTCCAGGGCTTTTCTCATGGGGAGGGAAAGACCAGGTGGGCAGGGGGTGGCTGGTCACAGTCCCCTCTTCTGCCTCAGGCAAAGGGACCACGTCCTAATGGCCCCATCCTGAGGCAGAGGAGAGGGGAGGCTGGAGCTGCTCCTGTGAGCCTGCACCTCCTGCCGTGGGGCAGGTGCACCACGGTGTCCATCACCTTGAACCATCTTCAGTGTCCATGACGCACAACTCACTGCAATGCCCACATGCTGCTTATGAGGAGGACACCCCCAGGGAGGAACGTGGCTGCAAGCCATCAGCTTTTGTTATTTGCTTAGTGTGGGGATGACATTTTCTGGAAAATAATTGCCATCCCCTTTTGCTAGCTGAGGTGTGCGTTTCCCAAAAGCATGTGACAGTGACAGAGTTACTCAGGACAGCTGCCCCCGGCTGTCCCTACTGCAGCAGCAATGATGGTCAGTCAAGGGCCACAGCACGAGGTGGGTGGGTGGCATTGGCACGTCCCCATCACTGCCCCATCCCTGCCCAGGCTGGTCTGCAAGCCCATGTTCCCTGGCCTGATGCACTGCTGGGAGAGGGATACTTCCATGGGAACCACTTACTAAAGGAGGACCAAAAAACCCAGTTACCCCACCCTGTGGAGCTGTAAATTTTGTATCCAACACTGCATGCAGGCTTCATGTTGGGAAGAGTGACCCTTCAAGCAGGACTCAATCTTTAAGTGGGGCTACAGGACACAAGGAGTGTGGGACTCCTTAATGAAACACATCTCTGTCTGCTTACTGCAATAGTCAAAGGAAAGGAAAAAGAAATCCCAGTACCTCTTCATAAATAAAGATGTGAGGAAAGGACTGCCCTTGTTAAAACCCTCTCCTTATGCAATTTTCCATAGTAATATGAAGATTAAAATGTAAAGCCTGTCATATTGATATCAATAAAGAAAAAACAAAGTCAGTGCCATAACATACTGAGTACCCTGTGGCTCATTCCCAAGGACACAGCTGCTCAGTCAAGGAACCTTCTGTAAAAATAAACCCCAACATCAACAACACAGTAGGAAAAAATGAATGTGTAAACTAAGGTCCA